CACACATGTTGAATCTGTGTTGATGAATGTGTTCTCTGTGATTTTGAGGCACTTAATCAGAACATTTAAAGCCCTTAAATTCCTTGAAAGTTAACGACGGATCAGAGACATTCATCAATAATGTCCATGATGGGTGGTGGATGGAAAAAACAAAAAAAAAAATCTGTATTTTAAGAATTTAATAAATGTACATGTTAGTTCACATTTTGGTCTTCAGTTTCCTTTTTGTGGCATCGAAAGGGAGAATTGACAGGCTCTTAAATAAGGATAAAGCTGGTGTTTTTTTTTTAAAACAGTTCACAAATATCCTTTTTTTTATATATATATAAAAGGCTTATTTATTACAGCTGCTCACTGAAGTGTTTAACAGATGCTACTCAAACAACAGTTGTTGGGGATCTGTGTAGTTTATTTTGACTCAATCCCACACCGTCCTGCTGCCAGAGTGTGTGTTTATGGCAGGGCTGCGCAATTCAAATCGAATAGTATTTTCAATTACGATTTTGGCTCTCTGCGATTTATGGAAACAAGATTATAGAGATAAAATGATTGTTGTGCCACATTCTGTTTTGCAATGATGCTCTCGTGTTTTAAATCCAGCGCATCCCTTTCCTTTTATAGTGGTGTCTCCTGCCCCTCCCTAAAAGCCCAAATTTTTTTGTTCAGCTCAAGCAAAGATGACCAGGTGGTTATAACTGTTACAAATTACATGTTATTTAAACTAATTTATCCTTTCTTTACTCCCCATTAGTTGAGTTTACTGTCATTGCCTGTTCTGACAGAACACCGCGGTTGTCGTCACCCCGAGTAGTTCACCTGTTACCTGCTCTGCTGGAGACCCGTCAGCCAGAGGAAACACTGTGCTGCTTTCATCCTCTTGCATCCTACGATGCTGTTTAATGATGGGATGCTATTTCTTATTTCATGGGCTACTTGGAATTTTTGGGGTAGTGCATATATAATATAGTTTTTAAATAAGGCATTACATTTTAAAAGTTCAATAAATGTGTTTTTAATAGTTTTTTTTGGACGACAGCTGAGCTCTGTGGCACAGAGGAAACACAGACTTGGTAGGAGGATCAGTTCATTGTTTGTTTTTGGTTTGTCATGGGATTTGTTGACAATAAGAAATACAGAATATCACCAGATGGATCCTTTAAAATTGTCCACTGTGCTTGTACTGTTAAAAAAAACTCACCTGCTTGTGCTTTCTTTTTCTTGAATCTGTCTTTTTTATGCCCCCTTTTTTAAACATCTTTTTGTATAAAAAGTGCTATATATATTTTATATAAAGTTTTGTTTTTGAAAATCCTTAAAGGGAACATCTGGAAAGGTAGGTGGTCTTATTTTAAGGGGTCACCAGCCATAAATGTTGAGATCCACCGCTGTGGCATATTTCTTAACAGTGAGTTTTAAGGAATAGATATTTTGAGAAATGCATGTATTCGCTTTCTTGAGAGGATTGAAACCATATCTCTGGTCAGAGTAAATATAAAGCTGGAGCCAGCAGCCAGTTTAGCTTAGCTTAGCAGCTAGCCTCTGTTCAAAAGACAGCATCTATTACAGTTTTTCCTCAGTCACTTTGGTGCATTTCTCACATCAGAATTGAAATTCTCAAAACTAATTGTGCAACCTCCACATCTCCACATCTTCTCATCACTTGTGCACATCATAAAAGCACTTTCTCATTGTTTTGAACAAATTGCAAATGACTTGACACACTGATGCAAATGATTATGTACAATTGTCTGCTGTTTCCTACATTATCAATTGCTTATGTCATGCTGATCACAATGAATTATACCAGTCTCTGTTGAACAATCTTACCCCCCAAAACATCTAGGCACAAGTTCATTGCATTTGTCACTACATGCAAAATGGTTGAACACGTTATCAAAAATCAAAGTTAAAATACTTTATTCATATCCTTTGCCAACAAGTATATACTGTAGCTAAACAAAATGTTGTTTCTTAAGGACCATAAACAAAGTAAGAATAGACAACAACAACATCACAATAGCAACACTCAGACCAATACTCAATACCAGTAAACGGTAACAATACACAGTGAGCAGTAATAAACACTCACCTAAAGGATTATTAGGAACACCATACTAATACTGTGTTTGACCCCCTTTCGCCTTCAGAACTGCCTTAATTCTACGTGGCATTGATTCAACAAGGTGCTGAAAGCATTCTTTAGAAATGTTGGCCCATATTGATGGATAGCATCTTGCAGTTGATGGAGATTTGTGGGATGCACATCCAGGGCACGAAGCTCCAGTTGAGATCTGGTGACTGCGGGGGCCATTTTAGTACAGTGAACTCATTGTCATGTTCAAGAAACCAATTTGAAATGATTGGAGCTTTGTGACATGGTGCATTATCCTGCTGGAAGTAGCCATCAGAGGATGGGTACATGGTGGCCATAAAGGGATGGACATGGTCAGAAACAATGCTCAGGTAGGCCGTGGCATTTAAACGATGCCCAATTGGCACTAAGGGGCCTAAAGTGTGCCAAGAAAACATCCCCCACACCATTACACCACCACCAGCAGCCTGCACAGTGGTAACAAGGCATGATGGATCCATGTTCTCATTCTGTTTACGCCAAATTCTGACTCTACCATCTGAATGTCTCAACAGAAATCGAGACTCATCAGACCAGGCGACATTTTTCCAGTCTTCAACTGTCCAATTTTGGTGAGCTCTTGCAAATTGTAGCCTCTTTTTCCTATTTGTAGTGGAGATGAGTGGTACCCGGTGGGGTCTTCTGCTGTTGTAGCCCGTCCGCCTCAAGGTTGTGCGTGTTGTGGCTTCACAAATGCTTTGCTGCATACCTCGGTTGTAACGAGTGGTTGTTTCAGTCAAAGTTGCTCTTCTATCAGCTTGAATCGGTCGGCCCATTCTCCTCTGACCTCTAGCATCAACAAGGCATTTTCGCCCACAGGACTGCCGCATACTGGATGTTTTTCCCTTTTCACACCATTCTTTGTAAACCCTAGAAATGGTTGTGCGTGAAAATCCCAGTAACTGAGCAGATTGTGAAATACTCAGACCGGCCCGTCTGGCACCAACAACAGTGCCACGCTCAAAATTGCTTAAATCACATTAAATCTTTCCCATTCTGACATTCAGTTTGGAGTTCAGGAGATTGTCTTGACCAGGACCACACCCCTAAATGCATTGAAGCAACTGCCATGTGATTGGTTGATTAGATAATTGTATTAATGAGAAATTGAACAGGTGTTCCTAATAATCCTTTAGGTGAGTGTGTATGTATGTGTGTGTGTGTATATATATATATATATATATATATATATATAATGAATATTGTTTTCCCCCTGAGAACGGGATAATTAATTTTCTCGTGATCACGAGATAACAAACCATAGCTGAATACAGGGGCTGGCAGGTGCAATTACCAGTGTCACTGGTTAGTTCAGTTGGTAGAGCACAGGGCTCAGTTTGATTCATGTTCTTGTTGACTTTCTTTTTCTTCTTTTGTGTGTATTATCCTCTTCAGCTAAATTTTTATGAAGAGATTGGGGGGAATCCAATCACACATTTCCCAACGGCTATTTCAAAGGTTCCGAAAGCCGTCAGGAAATGTGTAACGTTACATGGATTCCCCTGAATGAGAAGGAATTTCCTTTGCCTGGGAATGATGGGGAAATGAAAAGTCCGTAGTTTGATGGATGTGGACCAAGAACGCACAGAGTCCAGCGCGTGCTTTACAGTAATGTGAGCATGTGAAACAGTCTTTTCATAAGAACTTTGTTGAAGAGGATTATGAAAAACATAAAAAAGAAAAATTTAGTCTTCAGTGAGAATTGAGCACACAACCTTAAACCGACGAGTCCTATGCTCTACCTAGTGAGCCAACCAATGATACAACAAATCACACTATAATTACCATTATGGTTATCTTGAAATCACGAGAAAATGATGAGTAAAAAATATTTGATTAGGGCTTCCATATATATATATAGTTAGACATTCTATACATGTCTATTACAATTATTTTGTAAATGTGTCCTGAATTGATGAAGATATCTGTTGTGATGTGGAAGAGAATCTGTGATACAACAGGCAACAGTCCTGTCTCTTTCTTTTGTTCTTACAACGACATGCTCTGTCAACAAATTACAGTACGAACAGTAAAAGTAGAGCTGTGATTCCTGTCCTCTCTCCTGCAATGTATAACTTTGTACTGGTGAAAGTGATATATGCCATACAAAAAAAGTGCAGCCTTCTGCATTTTCAATCATTGTCATCGAAATCTTAGCCAAAATGTACATCAGAAAATACTTAGAGTACACTGTTATATTGACAAGATGGCTAAACATTTTGACTTGCTTGTTCATAAACAAGACACAAGGACTTGTTTTTCTGATGACACTGACAAGTTTAATGACATAAAGATTTGCTTTTGAGAGATAGACTAAGGATTTTGAGCAAGTTATGGGCTTTTGCAGGTAATCCACTGTGTTGTGCTGTTTGTACTACCTGCTTCGAGAAATGCACTTACTGTTTTGCAAATGTGAAAGATGATTCGAGAAATGCACCAAAGCGAATGAGAAAAACTTTAAAGCTTATCTGTTTTATGTGTTGTTCTTGGCTGGGTGCAGTGATTCCTTGGACTCTGGTTGTTGCCCCCCTGTTTTAAGTCTTGAGTTTAACAGATATTTCTAAAAGAACTTGTATTTTTCTTTTGGTTTTGTACTCATTTCGTGCCTGTGATTTAGGCTTTTTCCAGTGGACATGTAACCTTTGTTTACAAGATTTATTTGTTTAAAAATAGTTCGCTTTTTATTAAGTTGTCTGCAAACACATCTCATTACAAACAGGTCTTGGAGTGAATATTGTGATTGTGGTTCCCTGCAGCTCCTCATCTTCAGTTTCCCTGTCAGCCCAAAGGAGGGGGGTGTCCCCGCCTCCTGGAGCCGACCCGCCAATAGGAGCTCTCCCTGGATTATCCTGCTGTTATAAAGTCCAAGGATGCAGAATCTGCTGGAGGAGCGCGCAGAGAAAAAAACCTGCAAGGGACCCTTCAAAGCCAACTGTGTGGGGAGGAGAAAGTGATCCAACAAGTGCTCCGTGGAGAGGAAACACAAGGTGAAGGCAGGAAAAGAAGTGATGGATCACTCCAAACAGACACAGTACGGCTCAAACGAGAAGAAAGACAGCGGGGACACCGGCTCCGTGCTGAACGGACACTTTGACGCGATGGTGAAGCGGTCAGCCGGCGGCACCGTGCGCCCCGCCGCCCCCCAGCCTCCGGGCGCGGAGTCCGGTGCGCACCGGCCGGCCGCCTCGGTGATGGAGTGCTGGAGGGAGGAGCGCACCAGGAGCGTGGAGGACAACGAGATGAGCCTGCCGTCCCTGGCCGCGGCTTACACCACCATCCTGCGGGGGCTCGGGGAGGACCCGCAGCGGCAGGGGCTCCTCAAAACCCCCTGGAGGGCTGCCACCGCCATGCAGTTCTTCACCAAGGGCTACCAGGAGAAAATTATCGGTGAGTTTTTAAATCCACAAAGCCGCTCAGAGGCTGTTGGGATTTGTCCTGCGATCAACAGGTGGCAGGTCTGACAAAATACTCTGTTACAAGTAAAAGTCGTGCATTGGAAATGTTATTTAAGTAAAAGTACAATATTTCCTTCTGAAATGTAGTGATGTAGAAAGTGGCATGTAAAGAAAGTACAAGTACCTCACATTTGTATCATGAAGGAATGTACTTAGTCCACAGATACATTGTACATTGATGTTTTATATAACTGGTGCTTAAGTACAGTCAAGTAGCCTATTGTATTTGTAATACTTGAGTATTAAGCACTAGCCACTTTCCACAGACATCCCTAACCCTAACATCAGATATCGTGTCTCTGCTTGTTTCAAGCTTTGCTGAAGCTGTAGTGTGTTTAGAAATGAAATATTCAAACCCAAAAATATCCTTTTATGGTCCTTTATGGCTCCACTGTCCAGCTGAAACGATTAAGCCATGCAGAAATCAATGCAGCTATTTGGATAATCGATTAATTGTTTAAATCTTTAAGGCAAAAAACTTCCCCAGTGTGAAGACTTTTCCCTTTTCTCTGTATATGATAGTAAATTGAACATCTTTTGGGATTTGGACTGTTGGTCAGTCAAGACACCTGAAGACGTCACCTTCAGCTCTGGGAACTATTTTTTTTTGACATTTTAAAGGCTAACATTTTTTATTGAATCAGAAAAATGTCAAAAATATCATTAATCATTAGTTAAGACATAAGTTTGGGCTTTATGAAGCATTTTATTTTCTAGATTCCACATCTTAAATGATCAATTGAAGAAGGAATATCCTGATTAATCCATAAAGAAATGACCAGCCCTAATGTTATGTGTTACTTTAGACACATTTCTCCAAAATTCTGCTTGACAACATTTATATTTTTGAAAACTTTGTGACCCTGACTAGAATTTCTTTTCCTTTTCCTGCATGCCACCTCGTGTACGGTGCTTTGCTTGCCGTTTTCCCAATTTGATCAGGCAGGTTTTACCGGGCGTCTTGGTGTGAAAGCCACTGAAATTAAAATGACAATGATGCGGCCAATCACAGCTGACTAATCCCGCCCTTCAGCTCTTCAAAAGCTGCAGATCTGTCTGTAAGATGTATCTGTGCCTCATGCAAACCAAACCTACCCGGCCTGATGCTCCCAACGTCCAGAAGGGGTTTGAGGGGGGTGAAAAGCACCTGGACGAGGG